CGCCTTCCAAGCCGTTCCGGGAAAGTCGACTGACGAGACTAACATTGCAAGGTTGCATCCCGGCCAGAACATCGTACGCTGCAGCTGTCAAACGATGTAAGTATGTCGTGCATTGTTCGCTTCATGGTCTTCTGTTTCTTCCTTGTTATTTGCCCCCTCCTTGATTTATTGAAGGGCCTGGCCACGGATCTCGTCTAAATGGCGCGAACCATCCCCGCAATGGTAAACGCGCCTGTGGCCGATCTCCCGCATCCCGTCTCGGCGGCCGTCTTTTGACTTCATTGGAACTCTGGGTGGTGAACATCACCTTGAGAAGGGACTTTAGAAGGCCTCTATAATCACGCACAGGGAGAAAGACGATGGCTTAAATCATGTAATACTTGGCAAGTTCGAATGCTATCTACAATCGACCGAAGAATTCCCTGCTTCGGCTCTGATCCATGTCCCTCCTATGTACAGTCTAGCCAGCCGTGTCCCGACTCCAATCTATCACGACTTGCCCCATGCCTCTCCAAGCTCCCGTTCCACTACCCAAGAAAAAAGGGTCACCTCTCACCAAGAACCTCCAAGATGCCCATCGCCTCCTCGTCATCGACCTCCCCCTCCTCACACCTCCCATTGAAGCAGCTCGAATGCGCCCAAACACCCGCCAACCCGTCTGTGACGTCCGCGACATTGGCAGCCCTCACGCCCCCGCCGACAATGACTTCAAAACCGAACGGCTTCGCGGCCCGCACGACCTCCTCCAAAACGGCCTTGTTGCTGGCGGCATTCCCGGGTCCGCCCGAGGTGAGCACCCCGGCAAACCCGCACTCCACAAGCTCCCTCACGCCCCGCCCGACCGTCTGCGCGCTCCCGTCCCGGATAATTTCGTCAAAGGCACGATGGAAAGAAGACGGCAGCCCCCCGGCCGCCTCCACAAGTCTCCGATTCCTCTCCACGTCAACCGCCACTGCTTCACCATCCGCAGACGCCTTCAGAACGCCAAAGACGAACCCGTCGCCGCGGTCTTTGCGCAGCACCCCGCGAAAGGCCTCGATATCCCTGACCATCTCCGCGAGCTCGTCCTCCGTGTAGATGAAGTCCGGGCCGTCGGTCGGCTTGCCGCGCGGGCGGATCATGACGCGCACGGGGACCATGAGCCACTTGGTGATGCCCTCCAGGTCCGCGAGCGAGGGCGTCGTGCCGCCTACGGGGTAGCTGCCCTTGGCGTTGAGCTCGATGCGCTGCGCGCCGATGGCCTGGGCGTGCAGCGCGGACGAGGGCGAGAAGACTGGTATCTCGAGATTGATTGGCATGGTTGTTGGTTTGAGAATCTGAGCGGCCCCCATTTGGTATGTTTGTCGAATGAGACGCTGGGTGAAAGTATATAAAAGAGTGTTCTGGTTGGTTGGGATGAGGGGTAAAATAGATAACGGGGCAAAAAAAGCAAGTGTGACCCTGTATGTAACGTTCCTGTGTAAGTTGGTAAGGTTTCCTCTGCAATATCTCATCTCTCCCGAAGGGGAGCAACCACGACTTATAAAGCAAACGAAAAACAATTGGAAAACGACGGAAAACCAGTTCTCGTGTCCCAGACTCCCCCGTAAACTCCGATTTCCTTGCTTTCATGGCCTTCCCGCTCGGACAGCAATTCTTAATATCAGATCATGCCATCCGTTCCCTTGTTACGCGCCCCGTACCCACTATGGAGATCTCAAAGTCGTCCGAGTTTCCTCGGCAAGCTTACCTTAGTCATCATGCATGGGATAAGGGGTTGGACGAGCAGGATGAGCTATGATTTAGATGCGCGTTGTCTTTTCATCATTTTCGGGGAGGGATAACTCCGCCTGCCGCCAGAGGTTTTGTGACTGTCGTTCAAATTCTGTATCAAAAGGCTATGAGTGAAGGCAAAAACTAGCTAAACTTGTTCATGACTGGGGGTTATCATTACGGAGTGCACTCCGCCACCGCATATCAATGTGGGGTATCCTTGTGTCCTTCTTATACTGTCACTTGACAGCATTATCATGATACCGAACCCAAAAGAAATTCCATCCTGCTTTGACCTCAAATAGTGCTGGCCCAAATCATGTACGACCACCCCCAAACTTGAAAACCTGTGCCGCTTCAGGTAGTAATAATGTATTAGGCTGGCATTGTCGTCTTGGGAAAGGTATGCGTATCGGGTATCATTGCTGGAAATGATGTTGCGAAAACGAATGTTTGTACAGTGATGCTAACTGTGGGGAGAGACGATGATAGACTGACTACTGCACGCGATCATGAGATGCAGAGTTTGCCCCAGTGAAGCCGCGTTCGGCAGGGGGAGGGACTTCAAAGGCCATGAATCCATCTTCTGATTTGATAGCGCTCGGGTCTCCAGTCTCTTCGGCCACAGCCATCGAGGCCGCGAACCGGCGATGTTCACCTGCCGACTTGCCGTAATGATACGCTGGATCGGGGTCTGTGATGGCTCCGGGGATGTCTTGACTATACCACAACTCCTCGCCGTCGCTGAAGTAGGTCGGCGGAGAATTCTCTGGGGCAGTGCCTCTTCCATCGGTGCCAAAAGGCTGAGAGACGTGAGGGCCCGTCGAGGTGTAGTAGGAAGTGGCGTTGACAGCAGCGGAGGAAGGGAGTTGGCTTGGGTGAAGCGAGCCATGCGCAGTGCTGTATTGGCTTCTCAAATGGTTGTCTTCGTTGCGCCAATCCTCGTAGTTGTGCTGGAAGCTGGCTCCCTCGGGTTCTCCACGGTGATCATGTCTGTCTCTCATTACCTGCTGGCGTGACTGGCGTTCGCTGTTCTCTTCCCCCGTCCACTTCCTCTTGAGGGTCTGCTCGGGCCTTGCGCTGCTGGGAGAATAGCTTGACTTGGGCATACCCGAGTTCGATGCTGTACTGGGTTGGCGTCCATAGTAGTCGTTCTGGGTCGTAGTTGATGACGGGGCGCGTGCATGGCCGTAATCTACGGAGCTTCCGTTGGTAGCCGACCGAAGCATGGACGAGGAAGATCGTGAGCTGTGATACTGAGAGCCGGAACTGCTTGTTTCGGAAGTGAACCGAGTTCTCCTGTGATTGGAGACATCAAACGACATTCCAGGTGAAAAGTCGGCAGTCGACGGGCTGTATTGCTGCCTCGAGACACTGAAGCCCAGGCTGTGGCTAGGTGCGGCCTGAGTTTGAATGGGGTTAAGACCGTAAAAGTCCTGGGTTGGTTGAGCGAAGCGGTAGTCCGGAGCCGGCAGCGAGAAGTAGCGGCCGCCGGGCTCATAGTCCGCTGGGTTGCCGCGGAAATGGGCAGGAACCTGGTCATGCGGCAGGAACATGCTCTGATTGCGTCGATGAGCCAGATTGTTTTGGAAGTGATCGTGATAGTCCTGGTAAGGGTGTTCGAATCCAGGTGTAGGACCTCTCACCCCCAAGCTGTCTATGGTTGAGCGTTCAGCCGAAGTTGGATGTTGGTAATTGAACCCAGGGCGAGGGAAGTTGTAGGAGATTGAGAGGTAGGCTCTGGGGTCGATACCCATGTCAGCCTCCTCGGCTTGGTTGGTATTGGAAAAGGATATGGATCTGAGAGGCTTGCGGGTGCAGGAAGCAGGTCGGTTTTCCTTATCTTCATATATGTCGATGGCATCAGACATCTCTTCCTCTTCAGTAGTTTCACCCGTACGAGAGCTAGGCAATGTTTGGCTGTGATCAGAGATGGTCGCGTCCTTATCGGTGATATCACCCTCGATCTCAGTCTCCTCTTCCTCTTGATTTACTCGGGCGAGGGTCTCTTTGTGCTCACGCACATACTTGGTGGCATTGGGCGAGACGCGGCCCTTCTCGATGTTCTGGAAGTAGTGTTCAACTGTAGGTCTGTCAGCGTTCTGTGCGTAATCGAAAGAGGGATGTGACCGACAGAGTCCAAGGGCGGTGTAGTTGCGCTTAGCATCATTGCGCATTGTTGATTGCATCACCACCGCCAAATCCTCCCAGCTCTTTGGAGGCAAAGGGCCGCGACCAGCGCGCTTCTGAGATTGAGGGACGATGGTACGCCAGTAGACGCGCTCCTCCGCCGGAGACCACACTTTGCCGCCCATTTCTTTGATGCGAATGTCTTTGTGAACGGGTGAAAGGTGGTTATGTTGGTGGAAAATGTATGTTGATAAGGTTGATGCTCGCGAGATCGCAGGATACTGTGTGGCTTTTTATAGTTCGAAGGCTGAGCCGGTGACAATACCACGGATCGCTGAATCACGGTCTTGTCGGACGATTCCTAAGCACACGCAGCACAGCTGCTGTCGCTTGAAGGCTGCTGTTGACAAGGAGGAGTTGAAAGTTGTACGGTGAACGGAAGGAAGACCAGTCCCTTGAAGAAGCGAAGGGTACCTGTTGAAGTGATGGAAAGAGCCTGGTTCCAAAAGGTTGGGTGGTGGGAGAGATTAAAAATGTGCTTGTCGAGGTGGAAGTTGGTTGTTTGTCGGAAGGAGCAGACGGATAAAATTCGAGGTCGAAATTTTATACGTGAACGGAAAGAAGGACCAGGTGAGTAAATGAAGACTTTAGGCGCGAGAGCGACTTGGCCAGTGAATTGGTTGCCCGATGCAAGTGAACTGACGAACCAACTTTTTGTTTAAAAAAGGCGGTGATTTAGCAAAGAAAATCGTAACGTGAGGACGCAGTCAGCGAGAAGAGGGAGGGGGTGGGTGGTGATGGTGAATGTGAGGTTTAGCGCGAAAATCTCGTGGCCGAAGCGAGAAGAACGGATGAAGGAGACGGATCTCGTGACTCGAAAAGCTTTGGGCCTTGTTTTCTGAGGGTGAATCAGAGTGGGCGTATATTCATTTCGAATAGCAAAAGTCCACGGTATATTTCGCCGAGATCAAGAAAAGGCATTTGGTCAAAATGAACAGGACGACGAAACAGAGCTGAGCCGAATACGCGATGGACCGTGGTATACAACGAGGAGAGAGTGCAACCTGATCTGCCACCTGCCTCTTCCGGGGTGCGATCAATACATTTCAGATGGAGATCTATTCAAATGGACTCTGCGGCTCGGCTGGTTGATAGCCTCTGGATGTAAGTGCTGCGGCGAGACGCCACTCCAGCCTCGAGAACTTCATTCGTCGATTAGCGCGACTTTCAAGCATGCGCAGAGGGTGACGTACAATGCTTTTATTCTCTGGAGCCACGACGCCCTCTCTGATCCAGAAGCCCCAGCCGCCCATCAAGTTGGCCAGCATCATGTCCGTTGTCAAGCGATCACCGACGACCGCAACCTGGGATGGGTGCGAGACTCCTGTCTCCGGATGACTTTGGAAGTAGTCCATGATCTCGGAGCCGCAGCCGGGCTTCTTCGTCTTGTGTGGAAGAACGGTGATGCCGGTAGCCTCCTCAAGCTCCTTGGCCAGCTTGAGCGAAGTGTCATATGAAGTTGCTCCGGCGGTGTTGGACACGATGACGAGGCGACGGCCGGGGTATGCGGCCTTTAACTGCTCGAAGCGCTCCTTTATTTAGTCAGTAAGAATTTCGTGAAACCCAGCTGCAGTTTTGTTTACTTTGTACGGTTTATGAACTTCATTTGTGTGGGGAACAGCAAAGCAGTCGTCTTTGTCGAGAACGACTGCTCTAATATCGCACTTCCGATTTTGTCCCTCAAAGGCTTTCTCGAAAGGAACAGGAAGGTCATTGAAGGTTGCTACGGTGTGATGCGGAAGACATAGTGATGGTTTGAATAGCAATTTGAACACGTTGACGGTTCCCGAGAGATTGAGATTCATGGTGAACTGAGTGCCGGGGCGGACTGGCTGGATGTGTTGGAGGAGTGACGTCGGGGCTGGAGTGGTAGAGAGGGACGAAATTTGGCATGCGGAAGCTTGGGCCATCTGGTTGCAGCTACCCCTGTCAGACGATAAGATACTGCATAGTAGAACCCCTGGGGATGTTGCAGGGGATCCCTGTTCGATGGACCAGCCTGTGATGAGGCATCTGTCAGAGGTCATCTTTCGAAGGCTGGAATATCGGCGGGTAACACAGGTAACATGGGAGGTTTTGCATGGCTGCAAGTAAGAGAGGTATTTCGGTTCTCCTGAGAGTCTTAAGCTGCTGAGATGCCGTCATTTTGCCTGCCTCCAGATATCAATGAGCAGTTTAGATTGTCCATTCAAGTTGGACAACAAGCTGAACATTTAACGCAACAAGATTGTACACTTAAGTAGAAACTAGAAACCATATTGTTCAAATGCAACACCGAATGAGTTGTGACGTCTCTCCAGTGGTGGTGAAAGCTGGGCTAGGGGAACTTCAACGATGGAACTCAATTGGGGAATCTGACCCCACTTTAATTCTCCCTGTTGGACTTCACGTTTTCGCGTCAGCGCGTCTCAGATTGCTGGACTTCAAGATTCGACAATCTTCGACCTAGAACCACTACTCTGGAAACCGAAACATCTGTACCAAATCAACCGAGGACAGATCTTGAAAAGATGGCCAGGACACGCAAACAAGACCCCGAACCCGCCGAATCCCCCGCCCGAAAACGTGCACGCCGCGACGAAGCAGACGAGGAGCCTGTGAACGGCACGCCCTCTAAGCGGAGGAGATCAAAGACGACACAAGAAGAAGCAGGCGACGCCGACCGCGATCCGTATGAGGTTCCCTCCGATGACGACGACGTCGAAGACGCCGCCGAATCGGAACCCGAAACACACACCCCCACGAAGCGCAAAGGCCAACAGCCGAAATCCGCAACGCCGGCCAACGGCGCCGTCACCCCGTCAAAACTGCGCCAGGTGAACACTCTGGTGACGCCAGTCAAGGCCACGGGCGCGAATGGCTTCACGCCGAGGAGGAGGCAGGCGGCGGATCGCTCTGCGCGGCGGAAGAGCGCCAGGGCCCTGATCGAGCGTGTCGTCGCAGACGAGGACAGCGAGGAGGACGAAGAGGGTCTGGCACGCGAAATCTACGAATCTAGCGAAGAGGAGGAGGCGGAAGATGAGCCGGTAGAAAAGAAGCAGAAGCAGAAGCAACCAGAGGCACCACCACCGCCGGTTGAGGCACCGCCCACAGAGCCCGACACCCCGTCAGCGACGCCCAGGAAAAGAGGCCGTCCGCGCAAGCAACCACCGCCCCCCAAGTCGCCGACTCCTCCCCGGGAGCTGGCACCACACGAGCTGTACTTTGAGCACAACAAGCCCGGCCGCGCAAAGACATCCCACAACACCTTCTCCTCTCTCGATCTCCTATCGCATGACGAGTACTTTGAGCTCCTCCGCGCCCGGGAAGAGCCGCACGCGGAGGACCTTGCATTCTTGCAATCCTTGCACGAAGCCTCCTTTGAGCAGTGGTGCTTCGAGTTGGCACAGGGCTTCGGCCTGTGCCTCTTCGGCCAGGGTTCCAAGCGCGATCTGACAGCCAAGCTGGCATCGCATCTGTACGAGGCAGACCCCAAGGCCCCAATCGTCGTGGTCAACGGATACGTCCGCACAATCACCCCGCGCGACGTCTTCACCACCGTCGCCGCCGCCATAAGCCCGAGCCTGAAGCTCCCCGCCCAGCCGGCAGGCATGCTCCAGACCCTCTCCTCGGCCCTGACGTCCCACCCGAAGCCGGTGACCCTGATCATCAACTGCATCGACGCCGCCCCGCTCCGCAAGCCCGCGACGCAGCAGCTCCTCTCGCAGCTGGCCGCACACCCGCGCGTCCGCTTCGTCGCGACCGCCGACACGCCGTCCTTCCCGCTCCTGTGGGACGCCGCGCAGCGCACCTCGTTCAACTTCCTCTTCCACGACTGCACCACCCTGAAGCCCCTCGACGTGGAGCTCGACACCGTCGACGACGTCCACGAGCTCCTCGGCCGCAAGGCGCGCCGCGTCAACGGCAAGGAGGGCGCCATGTTCGTCCTGCGCTCGCTCTCAACCAGGGCGAGGGAGCTCTTCCAGCTCATCGTCACCGAGGTCCTGCTCGCGCTCGACGATGACGACGGCAACGCTGCGCACCAGCTCGGGGCGGAGAACCCCGGGTTGGAGTACAACACGGTCTACAGGAAGGCCGAGGAGAATTTCATCAGCACTTCGGAGGTGGCTTTCCGAACGTTGCTGAAAGAGTGAGCCAACCTCTTTCCCATGACACATACTTGAGAAGCGTATGCTAACATGATTCAGATTCCATGACCATCAGATGATTATCAGCAAGAAGGACGCCTTCGGCACGGAGTTGTTGAGCTTGCCATTCAAGAGGGATGAGCTTGAGGCTATTCTTGAGGAGATGGTTGTATAAATCAAGTATTCGGGTGATCTAAAGCATTGATAGAACATGAGAGCGCATGGCACAGGATTATACATGGAGTTCAAGGAAGATGGCAACTCTACTAGGGCGCATCGCATATGGAGGTTGTCAAAAGCAAAGCAACGCATTCACATCAGTAATGTGCGTCAGAATCGAGGCATTGCATTCGTGAAATCATTATCCCCTTTTGGGATGCTCTAAACGTCTTTTGTAAACCTGTTCCCCCCACCCTGTCCCCCGAAACGCCATCCTATGTTCTTTACACTCCAATGCTTTTGACACATGTCCAGAGGACCACCGGCACGATGACATTATCGTTTCCTCCCGTGAGGACTGCCTCAGTCAAGCTCGCCATGCTTGCACAGAAGCCCGCGTTGCGCACTGAGGATGGCCAGGCAACTTGCTGCTCAGGAGCAACAGGCCAGCCTCCGATTCTCAGCCACGTAGTAGCGGCCATGAGACCAAGGAAAACTGCCACCGCAAAGGCGACACTGCCCTCTAGACTCTTTCCACCACCCCAAACCCACTTTCTATGGCCAAACCGGCGACCGATGAGGGATGCTGCTGCATCGCCCAGGCCGACGCAGATGACTCCTGCCACCATGCTCACCTCGCGCGTCGGTACTTCCCAGCCAGCCAAGTAGCCGCTGCCGCTACGGGGAAGGGTAGCTAAAGACAGCCAGAGGGGGATGGCACAGCCGATGAGGAGAAAGATGTGGGAGATGACAACGGGACCCTTGTGGTCCCTGCCGTCGACGTAGGGAGTCAGGAAAGATGCGATTGGCCTCGACAGGGGCGGAAGCTGGCTTGCCCGGAGCAAATCGAGAATGAGGAAGATGGCCAGAACCAAGATCAACGCAAGGGCAGCGTAGACAGGGTCGACGAAGGTGGCCGGGAGAAACATCCCCACCATCATGAAATGGAAGACTTTGCGCCGCGTGTCGACCTCGTACTTGGGATCCAGGCGTATGACAATCGTCAAGCCGATGATTACGATCATCAACCAGTAAGCGCTCATGAGAAGTCGAGTGTTGGCTTCTCCAAAGTCAGAGAATCGAACGTGCTGAACCCAGCCCTCGTGACAAGCTGCCTTTTCTTCCTCATCCAGTCGCGTAGGCAAACAAATCCATCTTTCCAGGTTTGCGCTCACCACCTGGAACCTGAACCACGGAAGCTCGCCAAGCAGGTATCCCAAGGCCCAACCCACAGGCTCATTGCCTTGAAGGGCAAACCTGCCGATATATTCTCGCACAGGTACCAGAATGATGGAGACAATGCTGGCATAGACGTAGGCAGCGTATGTCCACTTTCTCATGGTCGCCTGAGCCTCCGTGAGCTTGAAGAACTGGCGGACTGTGGTCGAGGCGGTACGCTTTCTGCGACCAGCAGACGTGTGCGTCAGGGACCTCCGTGGACGTGGTCGCTGCAACACGTGAGGGAATGTATTCCTGCGGCTAATCGCGGAGCCGTCAGGCGAGTCCGGGGAGTTGTCGGAATGCAAGCCATCGACTTTCCGGTCCGTCTGCGATGGCATGTCGGCCACACCGAAGGTTCTGACCCTGAGTGGTTTCGAGAAAGGCCCGTCGATTTCGTCTTCGGAGTCTCCGGCTTCTGACGCCGTCTCTTCCAACGAGGAGCCCAGCAGCTCATGCTTGAAACGCCTCATCGAGAGCCCCTCAGAGAGAAATCCAAAGAAGGACTGTTTCTTCGACGGAGAAATCACGCGCCTGAAGCGCAACCTTGGAACCCTAGCCAAGGCGATTCCCCATCGAACCACAGGTCCGCAAACGACGAGTACGCCGACACCACCGCCCCAGAGCAGCGCTTGAAGAATCGTGGCTTGAGGCGAGTGAGCAAGCAGGAGAACATTGATCAAGGCAATCGAAAGCAGCTGTAGTTCAGCTGTGAGCAAACTGGTCGTCGTGAGATAGTGTAACACAGTGAGCAAGGTCTGGTGCAAGGGGTAAAGAAGAAGAGCGGTCTCGAGGGGGACGCTTGGTCTCGCTGCTTCCGCAGAGACTATGGAATGTCGCGCCAGCCATAATGGCACGCATGACAGAACCCATTGAAGTGGGTTGATCGCTTCGTGAGCTCGTGCCGTAGGAATTAAATACTTGGGTATCGAAGAGATGCCGAGAATGATGTTTGGAAGAATCACTGCTTCGTTATCAGGGGAAATTAAAAGGGACACTAGGAGTGTGATCGAAGGCGGGTAGAGGATAGGCGCAGGGTCGAAGATTGTCGGAACTGCGATTGGTGACTTGCTGGATGAGGTCTTGTGTCGGATCGACCATGCGACAAGTCGAATAGGGTAGAGAAGCATGAGCGATGTGACTAACGTTGCAAGGAAGCGCAGATCTATACAGGGTCAGTTTAACGTCCGCCAGCGCAGGGGAACACATCGCATACCTTGGCTCCAGGCGGAGAGGATAGGTTTGACCTTGGGGTTGGCGCGAACAACGGCGAAGAGTGAGCCCACAATGATGAACTCGGA